CAAAATAAGTATAAATAAGTATTTATGTGTGTACAAGCTGTTTAGATTGTCAAAAAGCCTGTGTTTTTAGAGTTATTAATGAAGTTCGTGTACTCAGACCAGTAATATTTGGGGTCACAAGTTTTTGCCATGGATATTTTGTGGGTCAGAAGATGAAAAGTTCGGGAACCACTGCTCTAAGCTATATTTTGTGGAGCTAGTGTGAATGGTCACAAGACATCCTGCCTCACTGTTAGAGGGAAATATTTATCTTGAACTGGTGCAAGAGGAAGTGAGTAAAATACCATAATAAACAGATATTATACAGTATTTCTTAAACGCATTCTTTAAAGAGTTTTCTACTGATATATAATGAGAATTTTATGCCTGCATGCATCTTTAAAGATTTCTCTCTGTTTCAACCCTTCAGTTCTCCTCAGCTTATTTCCTTGTCATTTCTCAGTTAATCATCCTCACCTGTTCAGTAACCTCCAATCAGTCCCCTTCCCAGGTGTTGTTCATATTACATGTATGCACAGGAGCAGTGAAAACTACACCCAGTAATGCTATATTAATAGAGACAGGTGAAACTCCACTGGACATTAGAAGAATAAAATTATCATTAGTATATGGATAAAAATGAAAGGTAGTAAGGAAAATAAGGCAACTTCAACAATTTTACAAAACTGCTGGGAATATTCTAAATTCCAGAGTAATGGTTTTGGATGGATAGAGGACAAATGGGTTAAAATGTATGGATTAGAGGATAAGGAAATGGCACAGTTTAATGCAATTAGTGCTATTCCTCCATGGCAATTTCCTGAGGTAAATGCAGGCATGAGACTTCTTAAAATGAATAATGATTGGAATTTAAACGAAATAGGGGTAAAAACAGACTTATACCTAAGAAAATCATATAGCAATTATCTTAAAATATATTCTGATGGTTCTAAAAACACAGAAGGATATGCGGGAATAGGAATATTTATTCCAGAATTTAAAATATATATATTTCTAAACATTTATCAGATCAAATATCTGTATTTCCAGCTGAAATGGTGGCAGTCATAATTAGTTTGCAATGGGTAGGAGGTTCGACCAGACAGGGTGGTGGTGTGCACAGACTCCAAAGCAGTAATTGAAAGTATTCAAGGAAAAGGAAATAATAGGAAATATTTAATATTAGAAATTCAACACAGTTTATTTAGGTTACACAGGGGTGGCATAGATATTTGGTTTTGTTGGGTACCAGCACATGAAGGAGTAAAAGGCAATGAAAAGGCAGACGAATTAGCAAAAGGGCTTTAGAGGGGGCAATAACAATTGCTTTTGGGAAAGGAGAAGGGGAATCAGCAATTAAGAGTAAAGAAATAGAAATGTGGCAAAAAAAGGTGGAATGAAGATTAAAAAAAGGAAGGAGTTTATATAAAATACAAAATTCAGTGTTAGTTAAAAATATTAATGAGAGAAACAGAAGAGAAGAAATAATAATGATGAGATCAAGAATAAGTCATACCTATTTAAATTATATTTTATATATAATTGGGTGAAGGATGTGGAGAAAAGAAAATGTTGAGCACGTGTTGATGTATTGTAAAACATATGAGCCTAAAAGGGAGAAACTGAGAAGTGTAATGAGGAGGACAGGACAGGAATGGAGTTTAAAGGGTATATTGGGAACTTAAGGAAACGTAGATGATATTTACAGATTAAGGAAATAATTATTTAGCTATCTCTATGATACAAAACTAAAATATAGGATTTAAGTGATGTAAAGTAGTGTTGCTACACACTTGTGTACAGTAGGTGGCAGTATGCACCTGAAAGTTGCTTGCGATCCGCCATAATAGAAAAGAAGAAGAAGAAGGTGTTGTTCATTTCCTCGTTGCCTCAGTTTGTATTTAATCCTGGTTCAGTTCTCATAGGCTGTGTCCAAAATGACAGGCTGGGTCCTCTGGAGGACAGACTACCCGGTCGAGGTGGGCCGGGTCCTTGATAGACCGGGAAGACTGGAAATAAAGAGGCTGTGAATTTGGACGGTCTAGCCTCCCCTCCTTACCCCGGCGTACGTCTTGTCACCTAGCAACTGTGACGACGCTAAACAGAAGCAAAACTAGATCAAACATAGAAAAATATCAATAAATTAGCATTATTAATATTACAAAACAATAAAATTAACTTAAAGGTAACATTTGAAGAACTAATTGACCCGCTGTAGGTTCATGTTTATTTTGCGTTTTNGTTCATGTTTATTTTGCGTTTTTATGACAAAAATAATATTTAAAAACACGTCTATACAAATGATAAAAGTATTAGAATTACAACTGCTAACAATTTTAAATTTTTATATCGCTATATTTTTATTTAAAACGTATTCTTTTCTCTCGCTTCGTCCGCCATTACTAGCTTAAAAAAATCTTCAGTCGGGCCGCAATGCATTATGGGATATGCTGGGCCGGGAAGGATCCATCAGACCTGTCCTTCAAATCGTATTTGTCAGCCGCATCGGAGGAGTCTTCGGTTTGGGACGTCCTTCGTCACGGTGCTATGACGGATGCGGCCGACAAATTCGGCCTTCGGAGGACCCGACCTGCTGTTTTGAACACAGTCAGAGAGGCACTGGTTCACTATTTGGCATGTCCAACTGTTCTGTTTCTCCTTGTTGTTTCTCCATGTCCTTAGAGTGTTTTTGTTAGTTGCTGCCACGTCAGCTTTTTGTTTTATTTTCATACTAAACATCTTCATTTTTGTAAATCTCATCTCCATCTGGACTTGGGTTCATTCCTTCGCAAAACACAACAGTAACAGTAGCATGAAATGAGTTGTATATGCACTCTAAAAATGAAGTGTTGAATTTACTAAACAAAAGTAAGTCTACTGGTTCTACTAAACTGAACTGAGTAAATGTAAAGCAATTTACACATTTTCTTTTAAGTAAGCTGCTCAGTTTACTCAATCAAGTTTAGCTGAACCAGTTTGAATAAGTAAATTCAACCCTTCATATTTTAGAGTGTGTAAAAGTATTTTCTTAATTATTTGAAGTAATTTTATGACTTTTACATAAGCGATTTTCTTATCAATAAGGTTTTTGTGATGTGTGCTATTGAAGGGGTTCCCAAACCTTTCCATGCCATGTCCCCACAAATACTGTAGCATTAACTTCTGACTAAGGACCCTCTTTGCAAACCCACAAACAATGCTACAAAATATGTAAAGAAATCAAAAAAAAGTTTAATAGGTCTTCAAGATGGAAGAAGCATAAACTTTTACTTTTTAAATTCCTATTCAATCATTATTGCATTTGTTTAGCACAAGACTTTTATTAACTAACATGTTTTAAACACTATTATGTTCCCACTTATAAAACATTTTAACAAACTGTTGACAAGAAGAACAAAACAACAAATATAAACCTCGTTAAATAACATTTTAATATTTTATAATTTATATTTTAAAATAATGATCGAAAAACAGATTAAATGTTATGATTATTATTTTAAATGTTTATTAGATTTACTTTTAAATGTTTCCTTATGTATCTCAGTAATCCAGGTAGAAAAATCAAAAAGAAAAAATTGGTAGGTCCATTGGAAATGTTTCATCTCTCCTCCAAGAGACATCTTCAATCTGAGGAGTTTCAGGTGAACTCAGCCTTATAAGCACTGCTTCCACATGGTGGACAAACAGATTGGTCACATGCAAAAGAGGACCATCAGCCCAACGATTGGTCGTTAGTGCCTTGATTAGCTCTATTGTTCATAGAGGGTCATGTGTTCCATCACCTGACTGTCGTTGGGCCCTGATTCACACCTTTTGCTCACAGGGGGCGGAGTCATACTTGCAATAACAGCATTGTAGAAGGAGGACAACTGGGCATGAAGGCCTCCACTTCTGTTTAATGGTGGAAGGTTTTTCTTCACAAAAATGGCTTCCTTTACTCCTCTCTCAAACCAGCGTTCCTTTCTATCAAGGATGAGAACATCTTCATCCCTGAAAGAGTGACCGCTGGCCTGTAGATGAGTGTAAACTGCAGAGTCCTGACCTGTAGATGAGTGTAAACTGCAGAGTCCTGACCYGATGATGTAGCTYSTCTGTGCTGGCTCATTCTTTTGAACAGTGGCTGTTTTGTTTCCTCGATGTATAACTGATCACATTCCTCCTGACACTTAACAGCATATACCATGTTACTCTTGTTTGTGCCGGAGAACTGGATCTGGAACTGGAAATTTGGGATTACAGTAAAGTTGCGCTTTTGTTTCTTTAAAAATCACGTTGACCAACAGATCCCCAAAAGATTTTTAATTATCTTTTATTTATCCAAATATTACAGGAAAAAAATGGAGAAAACTTTTCAGCAAGTCACTTAACAGATATGTTGATTTTAGAACAAACTCTTGTGTGACAAAGAATGAACTGGGTTGTTTTTACATTTCTTAGTTGTATTTTCATGTATTTTTTTCCTAGTTTCTCCATGGCATCAGAGTCCAGGTTCTCCATGATCTCTGGATCAGATGCTGCGAGCATCTTTATGGAGCCCATCCACCTCTCCTCAGGTGTTGCTGCCAAGAAAATCATCAACGAGGGTCAGAATAAAGTTTGAAAGCTTCTTCTTCCATTTTCAGCAGCATCTCTCAACATCCACTCAGTTTGTTGGAAATATACATTTACTTTGTTTTCAAGGCAAAATATTATGTTTGTATCCAAGTGTGTTTGAAATACTGTAAACTAAACAGATCACATCATTTACTTAAAACAACTCAGGAGGGTTTGTTTTAATTTAACTTAATAAAGATTTGAAGTTGTAGGAGGATCAGGGATCAGATCAGAACCGACAATCTTCTTTTCTACCAAATACAGAATGTGAAATAATGAGCTTTAAATGGGTCAAACAGACTCCACTCACAGCCAGTCCTCATTCCAGTCTTTCAGCTCGTTAACGAACATAGAGACAACGGCTCCTCATGACAAGATGTTTCTTGCTGGAGCAGCAGAGTGACACTAATGGAGGGAATTAGCCTCTGAGATCAGCTCCCATATCAGACATCAGCAGCCTAATGGACAATACATGTTTTATCTGCTGCTACAGCAGATGTTTTCTGTGTGATTCGGATCAGAAACACTCAATGGATGCATGAGTTCTTCAGGACGACAGTCAGAAAGCTTTTTTATTCCCTCTGGAAGGTGAAAATGTCATGGCAGCATGTATTAAACCACCAGGGGAGCCTTTATTGTCATCATTATGAAGACTTCAGGCTTTTAATATTTAATATGAAACTCTGCTATAAGAGAAAAATGTAACAGGTGTAAAAGCATGTGCACTGTGTCTTGTTAGCAGGTGACACAAAAGATTAATTATTTATACAAATCCATCAGCCAATCAAATGAAAAAAGTCATTTTTCTAAAGCCAGCTGAAAACCAGAACTAAATTAAAACATGCAAACACATTGACATTGAGACAAATACAGCTTCTTGTCTCTATTTTATTTCATTTCTAATAAGACAGCTAGAGGGTTACAAACAGCCCTCCACAGGGAGCAATATAGTTTTTTGCAGGTTTTAACAACAAGGCTTTTCAGATCTGCACTGTGAGCAAATTTTAGAAATTTTTCTAAAAAATTACGATTTGCATTACTTTTCCTATCTGTCACTTAATAACCAATTAAATCATAAAATATTGTGCATCTTGAGATTCCTACTGCTAATGCATATTCTACTTATTTTATGCAAAAGCTCTGTTAGTTGAAATTTGCCTTTTTAGTTGTTTTGCTGCTTTTAGGTTTTAGCGTAAGTTTTAGCCACAATTAGTTAACATTTTGATACCCTTACAGTTTAACTAGTATTTTACTACATTTACTCAGCATTTAGGTAGTGTAGCAACTGAAAAGTGTTTTACTTATTTTAGCTAGCATTTTGCTCTTAGCATTTGCCTTGGGATGGGCCAAAGTGGAGGTTGCTGAAAGATGTTTGTACCTCCACATCAATAAGGACTAATGATGATGATTTCTTACTTTTAGCCTTGAACTAGCATTTTTCACTTTTAGTTATCTAAACTTTTCACTAGTATTTTGCTGTTGCTTGCATTTTGCTTCTTTTAGCTTTTAGATTATGATTTTTTAGTTTTTCCAATCCAGTCTTAGATTCTTGAGCAAATTTCTTCAAAACCATTTTGCATTCAGTGTTCACACTGTATTTTTCTCAAAAATGTGTAGTTTCTCTATAGATGATGTAAATAATTCCTCCTTCTCAGAGCTGCCTCCTCGAGGCCTTCGCACAGAGTCCATTCCTGAGTCCATGCTGGAGTCTGCCGAGCAGCTGATGGTCGAAGACCTCTACAATCGTGTGAGGGACATGATTGATGACCGCAGCCCCTACAACACCCCCTGTGTGCTGGACATCCAGAGAGCCATGATCCAGGACCGGCTGGAGGCTCCCATTAACCCCGTAGATGAGGTTTGGCCCAACATTTTCATCGCTGAGAAGTAAGTCACCAGCATAAGGTTTCATAAAACATTTCATTTATTACATGTAATTTTAAGTTTTTGTTGGATTTTCATTTTTATTTTATTTTTTATTTATGTTTTGCGTACCGAAAACAATCTGATACATTTTAAGGTGTATTTTTCTACAGATTGTATTTTTCTCTCTCAGGTCTGTTGCAGTCAACAAAGCGCGTCTGAAAAGAATGGGCATCACACACATACTGAATACCGCTCATGGGACAGGTGTCTATACCAATGAGTCTTTCTATGCTGACATGAAGATCCAGTACCTGGGAATTGAGATGGATGACTTCCCTGATGTTGAAATCTCACAGCACTTCCGATCAACAGCTGAATTCCTGGACGAGGCTCTGCTCACGCACAAAGGTATAGAAAGTTATTTATTTTATCAGTTAAAAGTTAAAAAAACATTTTGACAGACCAACTTCACCATTATAAAAGCCAAAGAAGAATACATCAGACATGAATTAACAACATGTCTAGATCAGACCACATTCCAGCAAGGCAGGTTTAGCTCAGCATATCAAGTCCAAGACCCAACAACAAAAGAAGTTTACTTTACTGGTAACTCGACAGTCCCTTCGTAATTCCAACAACTCACAGAAGGTGGAACAACATACTGGAGCACAAACAAATGCCAGGGAGACAGAGAAGTGGCTGAAGAATCTGACAGAGAACTCACCCAGCCAGAAACCAAAATCCTGTCCAGAGGACTGAACTTTGCGGTCACACCAAGAAGAATTCCTCTCGTTGAGTTGATCACACACACAGAATCAGCTATTCACAACAACAAAATCCCAGAATTTGAAGCAGAACAACTTAGGAACAAAGTTTCAGCCTGTCTCAGCAATGTCAAACCACCACCTGCCAACATCAGTAGAGAAGAGAAAGAGACACTCTCACCACCCTCAGCATGGACAAGAACATCATCCTCCTCCCTGCAGACAAAGGAAGGTGCACAGTGATTTTGAACCAGAAAGACTACCATGAGAAGGTTATGACACTCCTTAGTGACACGACCACATATGAGCCACTGAAAAGAGATCCAGCAAGTGGTTACAAGAAGAAGTTGATAGAGTGCCTGAAAAAGTTAGAGGAAGACAAGGCTATTAACCGCATTCTGTACCACACACTCTACCCAGGTGAGACCACTCCTAGTCTGTATGGTTTACCCAAAATTCACAAACAGGATGTACCGGTAAGACCTAATGTTAGCATGATTAACTCTGTCACTTACAAAGTTTCCAAATATCTAGCGTCAGTACTTGGTCCGTTAGTTGGAAGTTCAGATCATTACATGAACACCATGGACTTTGGGAAGAAGGTGAGGGATGTCATCATGGAAAGAAATGAAACTATGGTCTCTTTTGATGTCACATCACTCTTTGTGTGCATTCCTGTTGATAAGGCGGTGGATGTGGTCTGTGTAAGATTAAAATCAGACACCACTCTAAGCAGCAGAACCACTCTTTCCACAGAACTAGGGTTGCCATCTTTTAGAGATTAAAAGGGTTTTGTAACCTGCTGCCTGATTAACYCCAGAAATGTAAYGCCACATTAAAGTTGGTGTTTTTATTTTCTCCTTCTGATAATCGGACGTTTACCTACATAATGTGTGTACGAGGGGGGGTGGGGGGGGGGGGCAGGCAGGCTGTTCACACAGATGACAGCGCGTAGGAAAGGAGGAGGGGGGGGTTTATTTCTAGCGGGTTGGAAGATGATGTTATTTAATGTTTTTTAACATCCTACAAGCTCTGAAATGCAAACTAAAAATGGAACTGAGGTTTTGACAAAGGTCAGTAGCGCGATTTGAACGCAATTTTTTTAGTTCATTACACACCCGCCACGTTGGTGGGTGCGTTGTTTAGATCTACACGCCACTTCATAATTTTACCTGCATTTGGCCAGTGGCGGGTGCTAATTTCCACCCCTGCCCTAAATCCAGACCCAAACCAGTCATCATTCGGTATGTTGCGTGTGTTTCAGAGAAACTGAGATGTTTATCCCATGGCTTTCAAACCCCAAAACACATTACGACAAAGACTGGTTCACCCCAAAGATCCAGTTCCCCAGAACAGAGTAACATTGTGTATGTTGTTAAGTGTCAGGAGGACTGTGATTAGTTATACATCTGGGAAACAAAACAGCTATTGTTCAAAAGAATGAGCCAGCACAGACGAGCTACATCATCAGGCTAGGACTCTGCAGTTTACACTCATCTACAGGCCAGCGGTCACTCTTTTAGGGATGAAGATTTTCTCATCCTTGATAGAGAGGAATGTTGGTTTGAGAGAGGAATAAAGGAAGCCATTTTTGTGGAAAAAAAAGGTCCACCATTAAACAGGGGTGGAGGCCTGCGTGTCCAGTTGTCCTCCTCCTACAACTCTGTTATTGCAAGTATGACTCAGGCCCCTGTGAGCAAAAGATGTGAATCAGGGCCCCAACAACAGTCAGGTGATGGAGCACATGACCCTCTATGAATAATAGAGCTAATCAAGGCACTAACGAGCAATCGTTGGGCTGATTTGTCCACCAGGTGGAGGCAGCGCTTGAAAGGCTGAGTTCACCTGAAACGCATCAGACTGAAGAAGTCTTTTGGAGGAGAGACGAAACGTTTCATTAAAAGAAGAACCCGTCCAGAGAACCTACTATTTTTTCTTTTTAATTTTTCTACCTGGATTACTGAAATGCATCAGGACATTTTGCAAAACCTAACACAAAAAAAAAAATTGGGGAAAAATTGATTCGTAAAGAATACTTCCTTTTTTTTACCCAACCTCAAATTATGATAAATAACCTGTTTTATAACCAGGAATGATATTTAATTAGGTGGTGGTTTTTGATTCTTTTTGAAGCAGGTCATTTTTTTAATCACCTGCTGCCATGAAAGGAGAGCCGTTATGTAATTGGTTGTGTCTGACTGTTATTAAGAAATGTTAAGAACCACAAAACATACCTTAAAGAAACTTTCAGAAAATGATCATTGAATGAACATCTGCAGCCGATTAAAATGAGTGAATAAGTTAAATATTTCATTTCTCAGAATTTAGTTTATGAATTAATTTGTCAAAATATTTGACTTTTTCATTTTCCAAAGATGTTTTCAAGTCTCTGTTTCCAGGAGATTTGTCATTTATTGAAATATGCTGTGAAGGATGAAGCATAATGCTCTTTTCTATCACATTTGAATTAAAACAGTTTTATTCATCTATCCTTGAGAGGTTATTGGTGACACATTTAAACAAAACAGCTGATCTCTAATACCTCTACAGCCCACTTTCCAAGAATGTTTTATGACTTTGTGGCTTTTATCAGTGTTCCTGGAAAAGGATGATAGTGTCCACTGTGTTTATAATTCCTTGTAGCTGCAGATGATTATTAAAGAGTCACCTCAGGACAGTTAGTCCCAAATATTAAATACTAAATGTACTTTTAATTCCATTGTTTTTTCAACCCACACACCAATAAATTTACAATTAGATGTTGAAGTTTCACTGTCCTTCAAAGCCCACATTTGGTAATGACTATTTCCATTTCTTGCAGGAAAGGTTCTTGTGGTTTCCATGATGGGCATCAGTCGCTCTGCCATCCTGGTAGCGTCTTACCTAATGATCTTCCAGAACATGACAATCATGGAGGCCCTGACCTCCATAAGGAAGAAACGTGCCATCAACCCCAATGAAGGTTTCCTGAAACAGCTGCGTGAGTTCAACGAAAACCTGATGGAGGAGCGAGACGATGACGATGAAACGCTGAGCCAGTGCTCCGTAATTGATGCTCATGCTCGCGCTCAGATCTTTGGTGAAAAAGAAGAGACAGATGAGGAAGAAAACCAGAGCATGGTGGGGGTGAAAGCTCACTCCATTATGATGGAGGAGGAGGAGGATGGAAAAAGTGTAATGAGTAGTGTTGCTTCTTCTGCAGCTGCTGCAGCACTCAGGAGTGGGCTGATTGGGGTCCAGAATGGGGTAGATGGCCAGGAATTGGGTCAAAAAGAATTGATTCTGCCAGACCAGAATGGCAAGGAGTACTGTGAGGATGATGATAATGATGATGGTCTAGATAGCATGATCCATGAATGGCAGCGCAGAAATGAAAAATATCAGAGTGACGACTGGTGGGAGGCACAGCTCAATAGTGAGGCAGAGGATGGAGAATCCCTCACAGGTGGTTGTCTTAAGAAGACCAAAAAAGTAGGGGACACTGATGAAGAGAGTGTCACCAGTGAGGACATACGAGCTGTAAAAGAACGTTTAAAATGCCACAACAAGAAACTGTCCTCTGATTCGATGTCCACCACCAGCTGTACGAGTTATTCAGATCTTTGGAAACAGCGACTGAAGGAGATAGAAGAACAAGCTGCAGCCCGCTACTGCAAGAAAGAAGACGATGAGGACAGTGACAGCACCACCATGGAAGGAGGACAGAGGAAGATTAACGACGAAGTTGACAGTATCTTCTCTGAAACAAGCTCGATGTACAACTTTTGTCAGAAGAACAAGGAGAAAATGACACCTTTGGAGCGTTGGCGCATTAAAAGGATCCAGTTTGGCTGGAACAAGAAAGATCGAGAAGATGGAGAGAAAAGTTCTGTCTGTGATGGAGAGGAAGAACCCAAAACGCCATCCCTGCAGGATGTCAACCTGACAGCATACCAAGCATGGAAGTTAAGGCAGCAGAAGCGTCTTGGTGAGGAGAACACTGATGAGATTCTAGAGCTGAGCCGGGGAGAGGACTCTGCAACCATCAAAAGGAGGCAAAGGCGTGAAGAGATTCTGGAGCGTTCCAAGAAAACTTTAGAAGAAAGTCAATCTATATGTGGGTGGGAAACAGAGAGCTGTGTCAGCGGTGGTACGATACCTCTGTCTGCTTTTTGGGCTGGAGCTGGTGTCACAGGGCCACCAAATGGCACCAATGATGACAACATGTCCATGCTCAGTGGGAGATCATCCGTCATCTCCTCAGTTTCACAGCCAAGAAGTACAAAAACCTCTCTGTCTGTTGTGCCCCCGGTACCTCCAATCCTTCCAGTTCCAACAGTACAAGGGCCTGGAGGTGAACCAATGGTCAATCTTGCTAGCATCCAGAACTGGATCGCTAATGTTGTCTCTGAAACAATCAAACAAAAGCAAAGTGAAATGAGCCTGCCTCCTCCATCCAGGGCTGGGTCTGAACTCAGCTTTGGCGGGGGACCAAGTTTGCTTTCAGGTCGTGGTGCAGAAGATGATAAAGCATCCATGCTGAGCGGAGCTTCCTACTCCAGCACTTTGTCCAAGGATCGAGGCAGAGTGGCATCTGTTCTTTCAGCTGGGGGGTCGAGCAGTTTCTCGGGTCTCAGTGATCGAGGCTCAGCCCTGGGCTCTGACTTTGGATCTAGTCTGGGACCAAAGAAAAATAAGATCACCACCACCAGTGTCCCTCTCTTCAGCCTTTTTCAAGACCAGGTCAACCTGGGAAAACTGGATGCCATGGACAAGGAAATCAAATCTGAAATGAGGGGCAAGATGGCTACCTATGAAAAGAAGAAGATCCTGGAAGACAACAAACGCAGTACCCTGTACAAGAAAAAGAAGCCAAAGGAGGATGAAGAGGAGGAGGAGGAGGAAAGGAAGAAAAAAGAAGAGTTTCTAGAAGAATCAAAGAAAAAGGAGAAAACAAAGAGGAGTTATGGCTTATCAGGGTGCCTTAATCTTAACCCATCTCTGGAGAAAGACAAGGACACCAGCATTGATGACTGGCTAAAAAGTGTCAGACCTCCTCAAAAGAAACTGTCCTCTGGTGCTGAAGATGATCCGTCTCAAGATCCGTATGATGAGCTTGATGCCTCAGCTTCAGAGTTTGACTTCTCAAGCCGCAGAGGCTCTTTTGCTGTTGAAGATGAAGATGAGGACATGTGTGGCATTGCATCCTCATATCGAACAAGATTATGTGACAGAACAACAAACAAAGATACGGAATATTCCTGTAATGGATTTGTTCAATCCCCCAGCTTTATCAGAGCAGAAAGATCACATGGAGCATACAATAAGACCAATGCAGATGTTGGCAATGAAGAGGAAGATGATATTGCAGCCTTCCTCACTCAAACCAGGCAGAGGATCAGGGCTCGGGCTATGGCTGAGGCTGAGGATGATGAGGTGCTCACTGCATGGAGGGCTCAGCAAGAAGCTAAATCTCAACAAAAAAGGGACACTTAACACTTTTGCTGGATTAAATACAAACCTTTAGGCCCCTCTCGCGCATTACATAAAATATTAATCAGAACGTGGATGGTCTTTTCAGGGTTCTTAATGTTAGACTCATGCCTTGGCGACAACCATGATTGTGATAAGGTGATGGAGACAACCTAGAACAAACGTGATGATATGGTGACATGTGGTCTTCTAGCGCAAAGCTACATTCTAATGGAGTCCAAGAATATGCTAGGCAGGGTGGGCACACAGAGCTTGATGAGAACAAATTTGCGATCTACCCATTCACGTTCTGATAGGTTGAGTAGGTCATTAAGAGCGTATTGGCATCTTCATCCTGTGTGATGGGGGTTTTAGTGTTTCTCTTATGAACAAAAACCTCTCCAAGCTAACATGGATGTTTTGCTAAATTACTTTTTCCTGCAGTGTTTGCACCTTTTATCCACAGCCATTTTGATTATTAAAAACATTTTAATGCCACTCTTTATAAAGTGATGAATGAAGAAACTTATTCGAATAAATTCAGTCGTCACAGTATTTTTCTCCTGTCATTAGCTGATGTGTCTTTAAATTGCAAATTTGTGAGAAATGTTTATGACCAAGCTCCAACTACGTTGTGCATTGATTTACCTACAGTACAAAAATAGCCAAAGTGATTGAAAATGGGTCAAACATTAAGCTCACTAGCCTATGCTTGTCTTGGTCCTTCATATTTGTTTTACTACACAGTCTTTGGCCAATCTAATGTAGGTCAATCAATTTACTTTGTAAGCTAAACGTAAACAGAAAGGCTTTAATTTTTCTAAAAGGCAAATTATATTAATTTACCATCACACATCTTACTGCTGAGGCTTTTTACAATGGTTTGTTTATTTTTTCCCAGCACATTTTAGGTGTAAAATTACTTCCACAGACATTGTACTATTTTAGCTGTAAATATGTCAAAATGTTTATCTCATTCAGGCGCTGCTATGACTTGCAGGTTTAAGCCCAGGTTGCATCAAGAAAGGCATCAGCTGTAAAACAATTGGCAAAACTTATAAGCATTTTTTCTTGCTCTGACAACACCCACAAAAGAGAACCGTCAAAAGATAAACACCAATGACTGCTATTACGTTTCTAGAATAAATTTATCCTGCTAAAGTTTCTCACCCTTTTACTTTTAGCATAGCAGTTTTGCTATTTACTTAGTCACTTACTACTTTTAGATTTTAGCTTTTGTTGCTACTTTTAGCTAGCACTTTACGACACTTTAATTTTTAGCTAACATTTTGCTCTTTTAGATAGTAATTTACCATTTTTACTTGTTGCTAGCTTTTGATTACTTTTAGCTATTGTTTCATCATTTTAGCTATTATTTTGTTACTTTTAGTTTTTATAACATTTTCATGGCCTACTTTTATCAAAATGCAATATTAAACATTTTGCTACTTTTAACTTTTATCATTTTGCTGCTTTTAGTGTTTGTTACTTTTAATCATTGGTGGGCAGCGCTATTTCAACATTTAGATGCACAATTTCTAAAGCATTGGTCAATTTATTTAGGTCCGCAAGTTCAAAAGCGCATTATGCTCAAACAAAGTTAACAGAAGCTAATCATCAAGCGCTAATCCGTCTCCATTCACCAGAAAACATTCCAGTGACACCAGGGCTGTGTCCAAAATGAGAGGCCAGGTCCTCCGAAGGCCGAATTTGTCGTCCGCTTACATCACAGCACAGCAACAGAGGCTGTCCAAAACCGAAGACTCCTTCGATACGGCAGACAAACGGGTCCTTACTTTGGCCCAAATTGAAGGACTGGTCGGATAGATCCTTCCCAGCCCACCATATCCCATAATGCATTGTGGCCCGACAAGAGATTTTTTAGTATGCTAGTAATGGCGGATGAAGCGAGAAAAAAGAATATGTTTTAAATAAAAATATGGTGGTATAAAAATTTAAAATTTCAAGCGGTTGGTGTGATGTGATCTACAGAGATCACAACACACCAAGAGGAAAAGGAACAAGCACAACATCTGTATTTTCAAAATAAGACATGATAGGGTGGACTAATTTTGTCAAAATTCCAGCTAAACTAATCAATATATGGATATATTTCAACACAAATGGAAGCAGATGGAAACATGTAGCATGAAGCATATGTACACACACTATACAAGTAGATTTTATTCTGAAATCAGAAGTTTCAAAAGGACGACAGTGATACAAGTTTCAACCATAGATATCAAAAGCCTTTATATCTATGTTTTCAGCTGTGTTTGGAGTTCATCTTTCACAGAAACAATATTTTTTTGCTCTGACTTCCACATTTATCACTGGATTCATGCAATCTCCTTCCTGCACACAGTCCCTCCTCTGTACGTCGCACCAGAGCGGATCTGAGCGCTGACGCTGTATAAATTGGGGAACAGCTGTGAACTGCACACTGCAGTTCAGCAGAGCGGAGCCGCATAGTGTAAATCCAGGGTTAGTTCTGGTGCTGTAAGTTTAGACTACTGGAGGACAAACTGACCACATTTCCTCACTGTGCTGTTGTCTTTAGTCACTCTCCTCTACATGTTTGTTGTTATTACTTCTATCAATAGCATGTTTTCTTTGTCTCTCTACCAGAAGAAAATACACTTAGACCAGTCCTTTTGTGTTTCTCTGTGTCTCTTTCCTGTCCCTCAAACCCAGCCAGTCGAGGCAGATGGCCACCTGTCCTGAGCCTGGTTCTGCTGGAGGTTTCTTCCTGTTAAAAGGAAGTTTTTCCTCTCCACTGTTGCCAATGTGCTGCTCAGGATGGGAGACTGTGATGAAGTGATTCAGTGCAATCTGCTGACTTCTTTTGATTGACATTTTTTTGTAAAGTGCCCTGAGATGACATTTGTTGGCACTTGGCACGATCTAAAAAAACTGAACTGAATTAATAAAAATAATATAAATATGCAAGTATAATTACTTCTCAACTACCAGGTGAGCAAAAATCCACTGCAAAACAAATGAAACAGAAAACAATAAACCACTAAACAGGCTGAGTAATACTGCAGGCATGAATAACCCTGTAAAAGGAAATAAAGAAATACAGTAGCTCCTCAGACTATCTTTCTGTCTGTTCGGTTTTAGAAAAAGTGTGAAAAGAAATCTTGATTTTCAGTCTGTAAAAAGGGAGCCTCTCTGAAACATCTGAAAAACTCCAAGTAAAACATTTTCATAAAATATCTATCAAAATGAAATACTTTTAACTTCTGACTCTTAACTCATTTTGTTATGTTAGACTGATGCCTGGTGGACAAAAAAAGAAATGCAACCAATTTAGTATAAAAACTAGAGCTGTTGAGTTGAAGATATTTTTTAAATATTTACAGAAATCCTTCTAATTTTGTCAAATTATTATGACTGTGTGAGAGTGTTTTCCTGCAATGGCGTGATTATTTACTGTAGATATACTGAACCTATCGAGATGAGCACAGTGTACCCAGAGCCAGCCCTAGTTAATTTGGTGCAGGCAAGGTTTTAGGTGACACCCCTTGAGCAATTCTCTAAATCTCATTGCCAGTTGTCCAGGGCTATACTCACCCTGAAAATTTTGTAAAAGATTTACTCAAAACTGCAATTTCCAAACATTTGAAGATCATTTTACTAAAGTCTTGGGACTAATAAAACAACATAATATAATTTTTTATGACAGTAGAACACTGAAAACCAAACTTTTACCTGAGCTTTATCTGAGATCATAACTGAAGCTTCCATTATCCTTATTTTGTTTTCTATCAACACACTGAGCACCAGTAGTTAGTCTTGACTGCATCATATGATACTTATCAACTATACTCTGAGGAAAAGTTATAAACGTTTTTTATCCCTCATTTGTGGTGACCCCTAGATGATTGGCACCATGAGCAATTGCCTACACTGCCTATACAACTGGCCCTGCCTGCTAAAATTTTAAACCTGCATTTGAGATTGCTCCAACTTTTGTTTAACCTCTCTCTCTCTCTCTCTCTCTCACTCACTCACTCACTCACTCACTCACTCACTCACTCACTCACTCACTCACTCACTC